GCCCCTTCCGCTCCTTGGCCTGCCCAGCCACACCAGGTAGCACTTCCAGTGCCTGAGTGGCAGCCCCACTCTGCCAGGCCGCCCTGTCAGCTGGCTATAGTGTCCTGTGCAGCCACAGTAACTGACTGCCTGAACCAACCAGGGATGCCCGTGAGCCCTGGGGCAGTGTAAGACACAGGCTTGGTAGCCAGAGCTCGACTGACTCTGTGCCCTGGGGCAGGGTTTTGGAGTCTTTGCACCTCATGTTTTTCAACGGTGTCATAGCGGTCGTTCCTACTTTACTGGATTATGGTGAAGAGTAAACAAGACAACACACGTCCACAGCGTAATAACAGTAATAATACTAGAAGATACAACTTTCTAGTAGTTACTACTGATGATCCTGCTTTACCATGGGAAATAACCTACAGCTTTCATGTTACAGCATCAAAGTCACTCATCCGTTCAACGAAGAATCCCCAAAGCTGTTCGAGGCTCTGGGAATATGGCAATGAAAGCAAGACAAGACTCTGTTGTCATGCGGCTTGTGCTCTCGGGGATGGATGAGGGCCATAAAGGAGGGTCGTGGATAGAGAGGCACTTCCAGGTGGACAGTCAGGGCAGGGCTCTCTGAGGAGACACCACCTTAGACCTGTAAGACACGCCAGTCATGGAGACAGCGAGCCTTTCCAGCTGCATAGCCAGCACAACCGCCCAGGCTGCCAGGCTCCAGGCTAGGGGTGGGCTGGATCCCACTCGCGCTCAATAGAGCTGAGGGTTGAAAAGCCAGCTCTATTGCTTACGGTTTGAGTATATTTGAGTATACCATACCCGAAATGCTTAGGACCAAGAGTATTTTGAATTTTAAATTTTAAATATTTTTCAGGTTTTGGAATATATGCATATACATAATGAGCTATCTTGGGGCAGGACCCAAGTCTAAGCATAGAATTCATTAATGTTTCATATACATCTTAGATCCACAGCCTAAAGGTAATTTTATACAATATTTCTGCATTGTAGTGTATTCACTGCAACCTGCTACATGAATTCAGGTACAGAATTTTGCTCTTGTCTTGTCATGTCGGCATTAAAAAACTTCCTGGTTTTGGAGTATTTCAGACCTCAGAGTTTGGGATTAGAGACGTTCAACATGTACTAACTAGGGGAGTCTGGGCAAGACCGTTTCCTGATGTCTACTAATGTGAAATGGAGACGGCAATGCCTTGCCACCTCTTAGCACAATTTTAAAAATATTTATTTAATTTTATTTATTCATTCATTCATTTTCATGTGACCAGAGAGAGACACAGAGAGAAAGAGGGAAAGTGAGAAAGCAAGCCATCAGGTCTGGGACTCGAACTGTGGTTAGCCATGTGGGAGTGTCCAGCACCTTAACCACCACGCCACCTGCTGGCCCCACCTCTTAGTAAAATTATTAAGAGTATCATGGAGAAAATAAGTACTAAAAAGTTTTGTCAGCTGTAAACTGCTATACAGCTTAAGATGTCTTTTGCCATGTATAGCCACTGGAATTTTTTCAAACTTCAAAAATTTTGGAATGCACACAGGTTATTGTTTTGATATAGCCTTATAAACTTTATCTAAGCATATCCATGTATAAACAGATAAGCAATTCCCTGCCCACCCCACAAACCCGGATGTAATACGTATTTTTTTGTGTGCCTGTTTTTCACAAAGATATCAATGGTAACATATTGTTCTCAAACTTGCTTTTCATGATTGATCAATGCATCTTGGAGATCATTCTCGGTGGGAGCAGATTTTTCAACTTTAGGAGAGGACAGTTTTACACCAGGCTACTCCAGGAAGCATCTGCTCCCAAGCACAGGGAGCTGTATTCCCTTTGGCTCTGTCCCCCCCCCCCCCAGATAAGCTAACACAGACACTGCTGGAACTGATCCCACAAGGGCTACTCCCAAGCCTATCAGCTTCCTCTTGAGACTTCCTCAAGGTGATAAACCATAGCAATTGGCAACCAGAGCACCAGTAACTAGGAGGAGGTGACAGCAGTAGTTAAGGCGTCAGTCTTACTTACATTACCTTAACGCTAGCAATTCAAACCATTGAAAAGCGCCATAGTGGCAATTATAAAAGATGCATTTCGTCTAAAAGACTATTTTACTGCTGCTGAAAAGACAACTATTATTAGTAAAATTATTCCAAGGCAGTTCTTCCTTAATTATACTACTGCACATTTAAAATCTATGAAAAACACACTAAGAATTAGGAAACCAAGTGGAAAAGTATATATAAAATATATAATTATTAAAACTCAGTATTAAAAACCAGGACAAGGACATTTAGGATGACCTCCCACTCAATGAAAGAACTTTCTAAAAACCAGTTAAAAAGGAATGATTAGGCAGAGAACCATTACCATCTGTATCTCTTCTGGGGATAATTCATCTTCGCCTTTGCCATCTCCCCAGGTTCCCAATTCAGGTTGTGCTTCAGTCAGATTTTTTTCTGTTAAAAAAAGAAAAATGGAAAATAGAAGGCCAAATAGTCACTTCAGAATAGAAAGGCTTAGGATGTAGCATTTTAAAAACAGGAGATGAGACAGATTCTCACAGGCTTTGGTGCATTTTATTATCTGTTGCCTAATATCCAGGCATTAGAGGTGACTTGTCCATAATGTCTAGGCTTTAAGTGTATCTGTATGTAAAGGGGAGGGAGAGGGAACTAGTACAGTTCCATACTGTACTGGCTTTGATGGGTGCAAACCAGATGGACATTCTTCAGAACCAATCTTAATGTCTATTTTCTTTTTTCCTTTCTTCCATGAGCAAAAGAGACAGAGACAGAGAGAGAGAGATAGCACCCCAACGGGGTCTTGAAGCCATGATCCATCCCAGCTTCGGCCAGCCCCAGACCTGGGCACATGAGTGCCCAGCTCACCTGGGAGGTCTCTGGACGAAAACCCAGACACTTCCCATGTGGGCCAGGCTCAGGGCCATGTTTTATCACTGTGCTACCACTGGCCCTTAAAGTGTATGTTACTTCAAAACACACTCGCATACTTACACTTCTACCTCTACTTTTAAATGGGGGAAACTACATATGGTATAACGTATACATGTTTAAGATGTATTTCTGGGGACCAGTAGGTGGTATGGTGGTTAAGGCATTGGATTCCCACATGGCCAACTATGGTTTCAGTCCCAGACTCAGCGGCTTGAAAATCACAATGGGCGCGTGTGTACGCTTGGCCAAAATTCTGAGAGGAGAATGGAGCAGGGACTACAGTGTGGCCATCCTTCCCAGAGGTGATTTTTCACTTTCCCTCCTCTGTCTCTCTTTCCAGTAAGTGCACACATAAATGCAAAAAAAAAAAAAAAAAAAGTGTATTTATTTATTTATTTATTAGGGGATTCTGGAAGGTTTTTTTGGAAAAAAAAAAAGGAATTAAAGTACAAGTTTTTTGGGGGCAAACATTTTGAAACCCATGCACAGTTATTTGTAATACACATTTTCCATGAACTTGTTGAAACCTCCACATTTTGTGTGTGTGTGTGTATATACTCTTTCTCAATGCTACTCCTCTCCCCAGAAGTTATTTAATGTAGCCTTATATACTTTATCTAAGCATAGTCATATATAAACAGATAAGCGATTCCCCGCCTACCCCACAAACCCAGATATAATACATAGTTCTGTGTGTGTGTGTGGTGGGTCTGTTTTTCTACAAAGAGATCACTGATAATGTTCTAAAACTTATTTTTTATGATTGATCGATGTACTCGGGAGTTCGGCCTAGGTCAGCTCACAGAGATCTACCATGCTCTTCTCCACTGTGCACGGTACTCTGCTCTAAGGACGCGCTACTTCCTCTGCAACCAGAACGCCACCAGTGACCCTCCGGGCACTTCGGGCCCTCATTAGCAGGACGGTCTCAGCCTCAAGCTGGAGCACTCTTCCAGGACAGACAAGAGGGCATGGAACTGCTGTCTGGGAGCTTATGAGCATTTCTGATCATGATCAGACAAACATGTGCAACAGTGAAGCCTGTGAATGCCACAGGCTCCGAGACAGGATTGCTGCCACCTGCATGATGCCAGAGAGGCCTGCACAGTTCCTGGTGGGGCTGGGGTAGGGGCAGAGAGGAGCGGGACGGCAGACTCGCGCCAGTCGAGACCGTAATGAGCCTCTCTTCCTAACGATGGCTTTGAATCTGGGTCTTGTAGTGGCTGCCGAGAACTACAAGCGAGCACAGCTGCTTTTGCCTTTTTCCCTTCAATCTCATTAAATTTCTTGTTGTCTCAGCCCCACAATATGGGCAAAAAGTCCAGGGTCACTGAAAGGGGAAAACAATGTAAGAGTGACAATTCAGAGACAGCAAATCAGGCAGAGCATGTGTAAAAAGTATTTTTATTATTGGGAATCTGTCTTCACAGAAATCTCCATGTCATCCATGACTTAATGCAGATTAAAAAGTATTTTTATTATTAGGAATATGTCTTCACAAAAATCTCCATGTCATCCATGACTTAAAGCAGATTAAAAAAAAAAAAAAAAGTTGTTTCTTCCAGAACTGTCATTATGGAATAACGTATTCCTAAAAGACTGGCTGAAAGCATCTTTAGAATGTGATCTGGTGTTCTGCACTGACATTCCTCAGATGGGAAGACTTACCCTTCATCCCCTTTTCCCACCCTGCTCCCACCCTAAGAGCTCTCTGTCTCTCACTTGGCCTCATTATGGTATCCATTTTAAGCTTTGGTTTTATTATTATTTTTTTAAGGACTAAAAAGAGCAAAACTAGAAATAAAGAAAACTCATTCATATCTGAACTAAGCATACATGAACCCTGAGCCAATGCGAAAGTCCTGTAAGCAGAAGTCATACTGTACCACATATTCAAGTGGCGCCTTCTTGACCTGCTACATGAAGAACGGGCCCGATACACAGCACTTGTCACGCTCATCCCCGCCCAGACCATCGTGCACCCTCACGCCAACAGTCCAGTCCAGACTCTTTGGCGTTCAAGGCCTTCTGTGGCGTGGTATCAAGTCACCTCTCCAACCTCATTGCCACTGCTCCTCCCTCTTCGTGTGCTCCACTCACCTCTAATTGGTTTTTTGTTCTGTATGTTTGTTTTAAATTTTGCTATGGGCCCATGCACTCAGGAGAGCAAGGGGAAGCACTTCAGATGAGAATGCCACACCATAGTCCCTTCTGCTGTCAGCATTTTGGGCACATATATATACGTGCCTGGCATGTTTTTCAAGCTGCGATGTCTAGGACTCAGAGCACAGTCAATCACGTGGGATCCAGGCTCCTTAACCACACCAGCAGCTAGCCCCCCAAGAGTCTTCTTTTTTTAGATTTTTGCCACACGGTGTGTGTGCTCCAGAGAGAGACAGAGAAAGTGAGAACTCACCCCCTTGGAGGGTCAGCCACCCCGCAATCCCTTCTCTTCCATTCTCCTCTTGGGATTTTGGGCCTTCATGTTCAGGTGCCAAGTGTGATTTCAAGCTGTCAGGTCCGGTATTGGAATCACGAGCAGCCATATGGGAGTCCAGTGTCTTAACCACTATGCCACTGCTGAGAGTCCAGCGCCTTAACCACTATGTCACCTGCTGTCTTCTTTACAGACTACATTCCATACTAGTCTCCATGACTTCTGGAGAGGTTTTCGCTATAGGGCGTGTGCGCTCGCCAGACAGAGAGAGACAGAGAGACAGAAAGCGAGAAATCACCCCCCAGGGGGGGATGGTCACACCACAATCCCTTCTCCTCCATTCTCCTCTTGGGATCTTGGGCACACACGCACACACACCCGGCATGAGTTTTAAGTCACCGGGTCCGGGATGCGAACCGCGGTCAACTACGTGGGAGTCCAGCAACATAGCCATTACGCTAACTGCTGGTTCCCAGTCTCCATGACTTCTGACCTCTGAGCATTTGCTCATGCTGTTCCCTCTGTCTGGAATGTTCTCTTTTCCCCCTGTAGGGTGCATGTACTTTCCGGAGATAAGAGATAAAGAGAGAGAGAAAGAGAGAGAGGGACTAGCAGTTGGCATAATGGCTATGTTGCTGGACTCCCATGTAGTTGACTACGGTTTGAATCCTGGACCTGGTGGCTTAAACTCATACTAGGTGTGTGTGCATGCGCGCCCAAGATCCTGATAGGAGAATGGAGGAGAAGGGACTGTGGCATGGCCATCCCCCCTGGGGGGTGATTTTTCACTTCCTGTCTCTCTCTGTCTTTCTGGCAAGCGCACACACCCTATAACAACAACAAAACCCCCGGAAAAAAAAAAAAAAAAGAGTGAGAAATCACCCGTGGGGGGGTTGGGGGGTGGGTGGGTGGTCATGCCACAATCCCTTCTCCATTCTCTTCTCAGGATTTTGGGCATACATACAAACATGCCTGACAAGATTTTCAATCCACTGGGTCCAGGGCTCAAACCATGGTCAGCCACGTGAGAGTCCAGCACCTTAACCACCATGCCACATGCTGGCCCCTGTCTGGAACTTTCTAAGCTTCCATTTTCTCTCCCCTCTGCCTGGATGCTGTTGCCCATCTCCCATCTCTGCCGTCTCTTTTTAATTGCCAGAGGGCATGTATGTTCACCAGAGAGAAAGCATCCCCCGGTGGAGTACAGTCACACTACAATCCTTTTCCTCCGTTTCTCTATCCTGTCAGGATTTGGGTCATTTGCCCAGCCTGTCTCTCAAGGCACTAGGCCAGGATTTAAACCAAGCCAGCTAGGTGGGATCCAGCTCCCAGTGCACAATGCTTAACCACAGAACTATAGGGCAGAGCCCTACCACTCTCTTAAGATGCTACTTACTTTCTCTCAGGGGCTGAACCCTCATCCTTTCTGTCAACTATGAGATCCTTTGGGGGCAGAAACCATGACTCACTCAAAAGACAGTAAGTATTTGCAAATAATCACGCTTGTCTTAATACTGGGGAAAAGTGATGTCGGGAAACAAGATACAAATACGCACATGAAGATCTTATCCTGGTTGGGCAGGAATATTGAAGAAAAAAGCCTAAATATTAGACATAGACAGGTCAGCTGTGACCACTGGGGTACTTAACACTACTGACTAAATGAAAAAGGAACAAAAGTAGAACCTCTTTAAAGTTATGTTTTTAAGTTGCAAAGGGAAGGGGGAAAAATGAAGAAAATATATGGGAAAAATATATCCAAGAAGTTGGACAGTGGCACAACAGCAAAATATGATGCTCTTCAAGGCTCACCCCCTGAGAAAGTCTAGGGACTTTCCTGGGTACACCAGGCATGTGTGTGCCCATGACTGGGGTTGGCTGAAAGCTGGAGGGTGCAATGAGTGTGAAAACCCTGCTGGGGATGCTGCCTCCTTTTCTCACTCATTGAATAAACTTGAAGAATAAAAGATACTTTTTATATAGCCCAAATTAAAAAAAAAATTGCCTTGGTAACTACAGATAAACTTATTAGCAAAATGCCCATGAATAGGTAGAACTTGTCTTCCAGGCGGCCCAAAGTAAGGGACAAATGCAAAGTCCTTTAAAGGAGGTGTGGCTGAGTACAGGGAAAAAAGATGACCCTGCTGCCATGGTTTGACTATGTCCCCCCAGATTCATGTGCTGAATAGTTGCTATTGTGAAGGTATTAATCAAGTGGAAAATTAATCTGACTGTGGTGCTGAAAGGTGGGATCTTTGTGAGATCATTAGGATTAGAAAAGACCACCAGGTAAGTTCCCAAGACTCAATCCTGTTGGCTTTGTAAGAGAGAAGGAGTCTGAGCAGAGGCACAGATGGAGACACAAGTTCTCATCCACTGGCCATGTGATGCCCTGTGCTGCATCACAGTTCTGTGGGGAGACTCCACCAACAAGAAAACCCTTAGCAGACTCAGCCCCTTGATCTTGGACTTTCAAATCTGTGAACTAAATAACCTCTATTCTTTATCAATTACCTAATCTGTGATATACAGTTATTAAGTAACAAGAAGGGACCGAAACATCAGCCAACATCGAGACTGGGATGGAGAAGAATAGTCAAAAACCCTAGCACAGAAGGCAGCATTTCAGAAATTGGCATTACATCTGAGCAACACTATGCCCAACTTTTGTCCATGTACAAGTTTTTTTTTTTTATTCTTGAGTTACAAGAGTTTTTTTCTATATTCTGGAAAAAGTTTATCAGATATATGATTTGTTAACGATTTGTAAATATATTCTCCCATTCTGTAGATTGTCTTTTCACTTTCTTGATGGTGTCATTTGAAGTAGTTTCTTTTTTTAAAAAAAGTTTATTTATTTCTTCTATGAAAGAAACAAAGCAAAAAAGAGAAAAACCGAAACCCTGAATAGGATTCTGACCCTGCGGCTCATCTCTAGTCTTCAGCCAGCTCTGGATCATGGGCACATGTATGCCCAGCATACTGAAGGAGGTTGCGACTTGAATCAGGAGCCTTCCCAGGTGGGACTGCCTCACATAACACTGTGTTTTACCACTGCACCACTGTCTGGTCCCTGTGACTACCATTTATCTTCCCTACATTTTGAAAAGTAGGTATTATCACTCTCATTTTTTTAAAAAAAGGTCTTTGCCTTAGGGCACGTGTGCTCGCCACAGAGAGAGACAGGAGACAGTGAGAGGGAAAGTCAGCAATTACCCTGCAGGGAAAATGACCACAGTGCAATCCCTTCTCTTCCATTCTTCTCCCAGGATCTTGGGCATGCACGCTCCACATGAGTTTCAAGTTACCAGGTCCAGGACTTGAACCTCAGTTGGGCATGTGGCAATCCAGTGATGTAATGATAATTGGCCCCATCACTACCATTTCTAAAATGAGACAAGTTGGTACTTAGAAGTGCCAATAAATGCTGGAACTGTGTGTGTGTGTGTGTGGGGGGGGGAGGGTGTGTGAACTGCCTCAAAAGAGCCATTTTTTTTCTTTTTTGAGAGTTTTTTTGCTATAGGGCACGTGCGCTCGCCAGACAGGCAGAGAGAGACAGAGAGACAGAAAGCGAGAAATCGCCTCCCAGGGGGGATGGCCACATCGCAATCCCTTCTTCTCCATTCTCCTCTCGGGATCTTGGGCACACATGCACACGCGCCTGGCGTGAGTTTTAAGCCCCCTGGTCTGGGACGCGAACCGTGGTCGCCTACATGGGAGTCCAGCGACATAGCCACTCCGCTAACTGCTGGTCCCTAAAAGAGCCATTTTTCATCATACCATCTGTCATCTACATGCTGGTCAGAGTTAAACTGGGGACTTCTTCCTTCACATCAGTGGGCCAATTTAGTCAGGAAATAACTTTATGATTATGAAGAATCCAAATACTGACTTTAAGATAGGATTATGAACTGTGAAGAACAGCATTCTTTCATTATGACCACTTATTTCCTACTACCCTAAGGCATGTTAACTTCCTTTTACATAAGGAAACACTTCCACGGCAATGAAAAGCAGTGTCCCAGGCTTCCTTTCATTCATTTTTCCAACAAATATTTATTGAACACCTCCTATGTGCTAAGCATTATTCTGGGTGCTAGTATTACAGAAGTGAATAGAATACACAAATTTCTGTCCTCATGGAATTTATGTCTTAGTAGAGGAAATAGATATTAAAGAGTAAGTGAGACTCAGCCATAGTGGCCCAGGCAGTGGGGTGCTGCCACTGTAAAACTGGCGCCACATTAAAGACCATGGTTCAGATCTGGGTTGACTGGAAACACACAGGGCATGCATGTGCACACCCTTATCCTGGATGACTTAAAGGCTGGGAGGGAGGTCACAGTGTGAAGAGATCCTGTTGAGAGTGCCTGTTGCTTTCTCAATAAATTTAACTTTAAAAATGAATATAGAGCCAGCAGGTGGTGTGGTGATTAAGGTGCTGGCTCCCATATGGCCAACTTCATGGTTTGAGTCCTGGACCCAGTGGCTTGAAAAGCATGCTGGGTGCATGTGTGTGTGTGTGTGTGTGGTGTGTGTGTGCGCCCAACATCCCAAAAGGAGAATGGAGAAGAAGGGATTGTGGTGTGACCATCCTCCCTATGGGGTGATTCCTCACTTTCCATCTCTGTCAAAAGACCCAACACAAATGAGATCCTTGAACATGCCCAGCATGACCAACACAAGGAAGGGGATCCATGACATCCACTCCCTGGCCAATCCCTACTGAAGTTGTTTTAAACTATGGGAAGGACTTCTGGCATCTTTCAGGCTTATAAAGCTACAGTGCAGGCCCAGCCGCGGTGGCACAGCAGTAGCACAATGGTCTGCAGTGTTGGAAGCCATATGGAAAATCGGGGCTCAGTTCCCTCAGTTCCCAGATCGACTTGTATGTGCAGGCTGTGTGTGCATGTGCTAGATGTGTGTGCATGCCATGATCCTGCTGCTGCAGAGCTCAGAAGAGAGGGTTGCAGCATGAAACTGTTGAGGGTGCTTATCTCTGTCTCTCATGAAAGAAATAAACTTAAAAAAAAAGAAAAAGCCCTGAGGTATACTGGATTCTTTTGCTTTTAAAATGCAGAGAATAAATTAGACGAAGAGGCAGCTCCTATGACATGGGCTTCACAGTCAAAATGCCCCACGTATACTGAGTCTAGTATCCATGGTGATATGAAACACATCAATCCAGACTTGCATTTTTTAAATTAAAAAGTATTTTCTTTAAAGTTTTGCCATAGGGCATGTGCACTCTCTAAAGAGACAGAGAGGGAAAGTGAGAAATCAACTCCCCGGGGGATGCCAAACCACAATCTCTTCTCCGTCCTCCTCTCAGGATTTTGGGCATGCACATGCACATACCCCTCTTGATTTTCGAGTTAATGGATCCAGGACTCTATGTGGGAGTCCAGTGCCCTAACCACTGCACACTACCTGTTGGCACCCAGATCTGCATTCTGAGCCACTGGCCTGACATGCTGCCAGGGCTCCTGAGACTGCATGCTTCCTGCCTTCCTTCTTCCAAGAGGCCGGTCAGCTCCAGTGCAGGAAGGCAGCACTGCTTCTCTTGAGGCTCCCTGACACAGAGGTGCCACAGTTCCCTTTGAATCTGAGGTTCCATCCCCATCCCACTGCTGGTATTCAGCCCCAGGAGGCACTGTCTCCTGGACCCTTCCCTTCCTGGGTGACTGGGTGGATCCTCCCTGCTGTCTCCACAGCAGTCATTAAGATTCAGTTGGGACCAGCAGATGGCATAATGGTTACATCGCTGGACTCTCACATGGCTGACTACGGTTTGAGTCCTGGCTTGAAATTCATGACGGGGATGTGTACATGTGTCCCAAAATCCTGAGAAGAGAATGGAGGAGAAGAGATTGTGGCATGGCCATGCCCCCCCCCCCCCCCGGGGGGGGGGGGGCGGTGATTTCTTGCTTCCTGTCTCTCTGTCTTTCCCTCTCCGGCAAATGTACACACCCTATAACAAAAATCTCTCTTTAAAAAAATCCAGTTGCGAGAGATAAAGGCTGCCACTCCTGAGCTTCCTTTGCTTTATGTAAATACAAATGCTGCAGCATGTCTGGGCCCGTGCTCCTTTTCTTCTGCTTTGTATTCCTGCCAATATGTCATCAGAAAGAAATGCAAAGCATGAGTTTTATTTTAATTTATACCTGGATATTCTTCCGTGGCAAGTTTTTCTTCAGAGTCTTTTGAAGGATTCTGTGCAATTTTCTCACATGATGTGGATTCTCTTGTCTTTGTATTTGGTTCTGGTTCCAGTTTGGACCTAAAAATAAATAATTAGCAGTCATCTAATTAACTTTCCTAACAGGATTTTGTTCTGATGGCAAATGGCATCATATGTGAGCCTGGCTCTTTTGCTCTGTGTCCTTCTGGGAGCTGAGCTGTTGCCTCTGGGTGCAGAGGCCATTACGAGAGGTTGGCATTGCTGCCTGCCAGGCGGGAACTGGGCAGCCCCTCTGCATGCCCAGCCACAGCAAGTGACCCACATGCAGTGAGAGGTGCCATCAGAATGTGCTGAGCCTGCTCATGGACACATACCACCCTCCACATGTGGGCAGTGAAGGTGGATGTCCCACATTCACCCAATACAGGAAGCTAGATTTACACAGTACAGGTTTTACACCGAAGCAAATGTATTGATGAACACACAAACATACATATGCCTTATAAGTAGTATCTTAGAATGCTGTAACTATGGAAACATGTCTTTAAATAACCACTTGTTCTAGGAAATCAAGGCCTCTCCGCCGCCGGCCTTCCCTCAGCCCTTCCCTCACAGGGCTCTTCTCCACCTGCAGGGCTCAGCTCAATCTCACCTACCCTGGAAGGCCCTCTCTGTCTTCCCTAAGAAAGGCTCCCTCCTGTTCTTGTGCACCTGTCGTTTTCTCCACAGCAGTCACCAGTCTGCAACCCCCTTGTTAACTTGTTTGCTGCCTGCCTGGCTCCCCTGAGGTGTAGTTCTGTGAGAGCAAGGTCTCTGCCTATCAGCTGTATCTGCTGTTTGCCCTAGAGCCTATTGATAGAGGAGCACCTGGCAGTCGGTGTCTAATAAGTGTAAGCTGAGTGAAACGAATGCCTTATAAATACCAGTAAATGGCCAGTAAGAAAAACATGGTTGGTTCTACTACTATGAAAATTACAGGCAAAGTGCTAAAATGATCTAAGAGAAATTCCACATTACTAGTCAGAGAAATTATAAATAAAAGAACAACATAATACATATAAGTTGTTATCACTAACATCAGCTATATTAAATGACAGCTTGTGTTATATACTGGCATTTTTAAAGTACTTTATAAGGCTAAATTTATGTAACCCCAAAATATCCCTATTAGAGTTAATGACCTTTTTACAAAGGAGGAAACTGAGGTACATGAACATGTGGAAACCCCTCGGTCCCACAGGCAGCAAATAGCAGGGCTGGGATACGACCTCCAGGAACTCGCTCTGAGTCCAGGCTTTAACTGCTAGTGTGTTAACAGCGAAGGTGGAGTATATCCTACTCATCGTGTTCCAGGAGGAAGGACTTCTGTGTCAAATAAGTCTGAGAAAGTTAAGTAAAAGCTGGGCGAGTGTTATACTATTCAAATGTTCTGAGCCTTTAATATGTTAAAATACATTTTAAATTTCCAAAAAGGCGTCTTTTATGAGTAACCTTCATAGAGTTTTTCTGAGACTACAGTTCCAAAGAAGGCTGTTTAGGGAATGCCCTGCTACATTAACAAAAGAATTTTCTAGAGTAACTATAACATCCATCTTTCTGAGTGTTCTGGTTACAATGGCTGAGTAGTAGAACATCATGCCATGAAACAACAGTTCTCAGTTTATCCGGGTCAGGAATTTGGGAGCAGCCTGGTTGGGCTGTTCTGGCTCCTGGTTGCTCGTGAAGGTGCAGTGAGATGGCACTTGGGGCTGCAGTCACCTGAAGGGCTGACTGGGACTAGTTGACTCGCTTAGATGGCTGGCCACTTGCCAGGACCTCATTCTCCCTCCTGGTGTAAGGTGTTACTGGCAGGGCAGCTGGCTCCCCACAGACTAGGTGGAAGCTTCCTCGACCTAGCCTCAGAAGGAACACGCCCTCATTTCAGCATCGTCTACTGCCGCAAGGTGGGTGCAGTAGTCTACTCAGACTCATGGGGAGGCAGCAGAGACCCACTTCAGCCTCTCGATGGAGCAGGGGTAACACTGCATTTAAGAAGAACACATAGGATGGGAAATATATAGTCTGCTTTTCTAGGTATCACAAATATGCAAAAAGATAAAGTTACACTTACTATATATAACATTACTCAGAGTAAGAGTAAATAAATGACTAATATGCTCTTTAAAAAATGCTTGGTTAGAAGATATAATTAAAGAAAAGACATTATTTGCAATACCCAAACATAAGTGGGTATTGTCCCCCTAAAAATGATTTGTCCCCCTAAAGGTTCATGTGCTAGAAGCTGGAAGCTTACATTCCCAAAGTAACACTGAAACCTCTAAAAGGTGAGGTCTATTGGGTGGTTTGGATCATGCAGGAACCACCCTCATGGATAGACCAACACTGTCTCACTGGTGAGAGGGAGTTCCTTTTCTCAGTTAAAGGGGTAAGTTCCTGCAAAGAGATATGATATGAAAGTAAGATGGCTACCTACAGGTCCTTCTCTCTGCACACATAACCCAGACCTTTCCATTTTTCTCTTTCCCAGCCTTGAGAATTGTGAGCCATATAAACCTCTATTCTCTATAAACCACTTGGTCTTAGATATTTCTGTTTAGCAACACAATAATGAACTAAGATAATAACATTAAAAACTATCACCACCACTACCAACAAAAATTTGGTATGTATGAACTTGTATGAACTTAAGTCCAAAACCTATACATGAAATACTTTAACAAAGGAAAAGATACATCCTAGTCTCTGACAGAAAAAGAAAACAGAAAAATGTTAGGTCTCCCTAAGTTAACTCATAACTATAATATTCCAATAAAAATATCAGGTTCCCCCATTTTGAAGTTGAACATATCAGTTACGGAATTCATTTGGAAACAAGCAAGAATCCCCCAAAAAGGTCAACAAATACTAAACACTAATAATATGTATAGTGAAGTGCTTAAGGAGAAGTATACTATTTACAAATTACTTTGAAATACATATATATTATCTCTATATATAGATAGATATTATTTATTAGATATAAAGTAATTTGTAAATAGTATACTTCCCCTTAAATACTTTACTATCATATTATTTGTTTCTAGTATTTGTTTATATAAGATAGGTAGGTTTTTGTTTGTTTGTTTGTTTGTTTTTTAAGATTTTTGCCATAGGCACAGAAAGACAGAGAGAGATAATGACAGGGAAAGCGAGAAATCATCCCCTGGGAGGACGGCCACACTGCAATCTCTTCTCCATTCTCCTTCTGGGATTTTGAGCATGCATGCACACATGTCCAGAGTGAGTTTTAACCCACCAGGTCTGGGATCTGAACTGCAATCAACCATGTGGGAGTCTAGCATCTTAACCACCATGCTATCTGCTGGCCCCACTTTTAAATATATTTTTTAAAAAAGACTAAATGAACATATAGAACAACAGACAGGTGGGTGAAGCAAGTACAGTCAAATGTAAATGGCAACATCTAGATGGCAGGTATATAGGTGTTTACTGTATAATTCAACTTTGATATATGTTTGAATAGTTATATGACAAGATGAGGCAGAGATGAGGATTTTCTTAGGAAAACCTTAAGAAATGAAGTGTGATATTAAGGCTTGAACATACTGATAGATCGAGGATACTCAATAGAAGATTCCCAATTAGACTCAATTACATATAGACACTTGGCATATTATGAAGGCTTAATATGTGGTGCTGGGATAATTAGGCAGTTCTATGGGAAAATGATAAATTGGTTTCCTTTCCATATGCTGTAAACCAAGATAAATCCAAATGTATCAAAGATAAACACACACAAAAATAAACCATGCACAGGAAAAAAAAGAAAGCATGTGTAAATTTTTGTATAACCTAAGAATAAAAAAGTCAGTATGACACAAAACTGGAAATAAAAAGGGAAAAGACTGATACATTTAATAACATAAGAATCCTAAAAAGATATTTTTCGAATGATAAAAAACTCTGAAAGTAGTAGAGGATGTTGTTAGTGAGGCTATGCTGGGGGATCAAGGGCATATGGGAACTGCGCTCAATTCTGCTATAAACCTAAACTGCTCTAAAAAAAAAATCAAGTCTATTAAATATGCAAAACACAAAACAAGGCAAACCACAAATAAAGAAAAAAGAGGAAAAAGAATAACAACACTATAGAAAACTAGCCAAGAGATTTCACAGGAAAAAAAGTGAAAATGGCTCTTAAACACATGGAAAGATACCCAATCTTCTTCACAATACAAAGCATATTAAAAACGACACCAAAACATCATTTCTTGCCTACTGAGATTGGCACAAATCCCCATACTGGGTGGGTCAAGCTGGAAGAAAAGTGGGCACTTGCATATATAACAGTAAGACTACTAACTGGTATGACTCCTATGGAGGGATCCGGCAATACCTGGAAAATACGCATATGTGTTTGTTCTCTAACCTACCAATCCCGCTTCTAGGGATCTACTGCAAGGTTATGGCAGTAAAAAGAAAAGGTATGTATATGGCTTTTCTTTGCAGCAATTTTGTAATTCACCTTTAATACGGTGAAAGCCTGGAAACAATGCATACGTCTATTAATATGGAACTGCTTGAATAAACTATAAAAGCGAACAAAAATACCTTTATACAAATTCTATGAAGAAATTCAACAAGGTGGGAAAAGTATATGTATATAAGATACCTTCATTAATATGATAAAGGCACCTACAAATTTTACAGTGAGCATCATACCTCATGGTAAAAGGCTAAATGTTTTTTTCCCTGAGATGAGGGATGAGGTAAGGAGAAGGCCAGGAAAACCCAAAAAACCAAGTGTGGTATTAAGGCATGAAAAGATTGATAGATCAATGAAAGAGAATGTCTTAACAAGAGAGGAAAAGAGAACAATTACAGAATCATTTTATGAAGCCAGCATTATTCTGATTTGGAAACCTGATTAAGATGTCACAAGAAAATAAAATTAGACAAATACTTTCATGGACATAAAGCAGAAGGCCCTTTACAGAAACAAAATGAATTTAACAATATATTAAGACAATAATGTATCATGACCAAACGGGGTTTATCTCAAGAACACAGAGTTGATTTGACATTTGAAAGTCCATCAA